AAAGTGGTGTCAAAATATATATAACATAGTATTTACCATTTTAATCATTTTCAAATGTATAATTCAGTGGCATTTAATACATTTACATTATTATGTAACCATCACCACTGTCTATACTCAAGACCTTTTTATCATTCCCAACATAAACTCTGTATAGCTCCTGGTAACCTCTGTTCTGTTTCTATGAATATATCTATTGTAAGTACCTGATATTATTGGAGTCATTTAATATTTGTCCTCTGTGTCTAGCTTATTTCACTTAGCGTAATGTTTTCAAGGTTCATCCATGTAGCATCCTTCATAATTACATTTCTTTTTATGCTGAATAATATTCCATTGTATAGATATAACACAATTTATCATTTCACCTATTGTTGGACGCTTGGGTTGTTACCACTTTTTGCTCTTGTGGATAATGCTGTAATCAACCATGGGTATATAAATATCTGTTTGAGTCTCTGCTTTCAGTTCTTTTGGATATATACCTCGGAGTGGAATTGTGGAGTTATACAGTAGGTTGTTCAATGTTTAACTTTTTGAGGAACTGCTAAAGTCTTTTTCACAGTGGCCACACCATGTTACATTCTCACCAGCAATGCAGGAGGGAAGGTCCCAGTTTCTCCACATCCTTGCCAACACTTGTTATGTTGTTTGTTTTTTTAAAATCATAGCCATCTTAGTAGATGTGAAGTGGAATCTCTTGGTGGTTTTGATTTACATTTCTCTAATGATTAGTAATATTGAGCATATTTTCATATGCTTATTGGCCATTTATATATCTTTTTTGAAGAAATGTTTATTCAAGTCCTTTGCCTATTTTTGAATTGGGTTGTTTGTTTTTTAGTTGTTGAGTTAGTGTAGCTTATACACTCTAGAAATGAAAACATAAATAACTTTGGTCATAATTGCTGCAAACTGGAAGCAACCCAAATTTCTATTGAGTAGATTAAGTTTGTTTCTTCTGTATTATGGAATGTTACTCAACAGAAAAAAGGAACAAATTAGTGATACTTGCAGTAACATGGATGAATCTCAAAGGCATTATGCTAAGTTAAAGAAGTAGGACACAAACGACTTCATATTGTATGATTCCATTTACATGGCATTGTAGGACGGACAAAATTATAGGGCAAGAAAACAGATGAGTTGTTTCCAGTGTTGGGTGTAGGGGTAGGGGGTTGACTGCAAAGGACACAAGGGAACTTTTTGATGTGATGAAAGTTGTGTGTTAAAGAGTGTGGTAGAGTTCAGGTGATTGTATAAAGTTTGTCAAAACTCATCTGTATACCTAAAATGGATAAATCTTTATTATGGTTATTTTCTAATTATACTTCAATAGTTTAAAAAATAATATTTTAATTTTCTCCTTTTGCAGAGTATAGCACTCTATATACTTGGTGATGAGAGCTCTGTTTCTGACGAAGCCTCACAATATTTATCCAGAATAACTGTAGGTGAGTTCATGTAATGTTAGGCCTTCCAAAATAAATTTTTATAAATGTCACTATCAGAATTGAAATAAGAAAATTAAAATTTTCATAAATGCTTTAGAGGCCACGTCTTGCCTCTTTAATACTGTTCTAGTCCACAGTCTACAACTGATTTTCAGATACCAGGATTATTTAAAATCTAGCAAATCTTATGTTTTCAGTGTGGCTAAAAGGACTATTTTAGCCTCAAGGAAATTATTAGACTTTCCAGCCTGCCAC